CAGAACTTCCCTAAATTATATATATAATTGACACATAAACCTATATTTAAAAAACTGTGGGAAAAGTAAACATACAATAGAGGCTCTAGAGTAAGGCAAAAATATTCATTTCTCAACTGGATGTTCTATCTGTGCATTTCATGACAAGTAGTATACAACTTATCCTGGAACAGGCACCAGCACAAGGCCTATTAACTGTTGAAGACTTGGAGGTGCATAGTGCGCAAGCCCTCTTTACATCAATGATTTTCACCCATTGTAAATGAACTATTAGTGAACTGCCACCTATCTATGGATTTTGCTGATGCCTGAAATACAGCTGGGGATCATACTTCAGTATAATCACTAAATAAAATCATGCTAAAGTAGCATCTATCTTTTTATATCATGGAGAGAATAATCATACATGCGGGCATTATTTGAGTGAATATGTCAGTCAAAGAAGTAATTTGAAAAATTGCTGCCTAAAGCAACTTATCTGGTTTAGCTGAAATACACACATGCAAAACAATAGAAATAGCAAGCATGTTAAATAGAAATTGGCAACAGAAAATAATGGAAATTATACTTTGAGAAAAAGATGTCTGGATAATGAAATATGAACCCTAATAAAAATAGCATCCATTTGAAACAATGTAAAAATGTGCTGGAATAATTTAGAACACACGCCTATATCCTGATATTGACGGAACTTTTCATTGCCTATTAAGACTATAAATTAGCCAGTCATTATTAGTAAATCAATATCTGTTTGTTTAGGCACATCACTGTCAATAGCCTCATAACATTATAATAAGCATGTTAACTCGGAAGAGATTTAAATATACATATACATACATCATTTACCTTTCATATACTTTTTCTTAAAATTGTATTGGTCACTTTTGCTATTTGCTAAAGATATGTGTTTAAATTAGTTTTCCCTTTATTTTCTCCTCCTACTCTGTCCTGATGTGAAGTTAGAGACCTGCATATCTGGTTATATTTCCTTCTGTTGTAACAGAATGTGACCTTATAAAGAGAGAAATTTACCCGATTCAGTTAGTCTACAAGGGTCATTTCTGTCCTTCCATCTGCTTGACTTCAAACTAACAGCTAACTACCTCTCACAGAAATACAGGATTATGGTTTTACAGGATTATCAAGGAAAAAGATTAAAGATTTGATCCTGAAGTCCTCAGTTAGACAAGTGTCTTCTTGAAGTCAATATGAGTCTTGTCTAGATAAAAGCCTGAATTAGGATAGCAAGAGTTGGCCCTTAATTAATGAAAGTCTGGGGGGAAATAAATAAATAAATAAATACATATATATATTAATGTTCTCTATTTACAAGTTTGCCCAAGTGTGAAAGTCACTTTTCAACACTGTACAGGGAGCATGTCAAAACTTAATTTTTAGAAACCATATCATGTATTTTTCTTATAGATTAATTAATTTGAATTAACTAGGAGATGAATTAGCCTATATGTGTCTAGTATACCAATAAACTTTAAGATTTAAAATGCAGAATTCAGCTGACCTTGAACAGCATATGGATTCAAAATTTATAATTAAAAAGAATATTAAGCATTTAATTTTATAAAAGAAACAGTTGTTCTAGTTGACTGGATGAGTTGTAAATGTACAATGTATCTAATGAATGCAAAGTTAATACAGTTAATGTTATAGTGTAGAATTGAGGTAGAAAGAAGTTCTAGAGATGTAAGTGATAGGTTATTGTATCACTTAATTCACTTGAAGATGCAACTTACGTATTACTATTGAGGTTTTAACATTTCAGGTCAACTTTAACATTAATTTAGCTGTTCATAGATTCATCTGAAGTAACTATGATGAATTAGCACTTTATTTCAGAGCTACACAACAGCTATTCTACTATATTTAAATAATATTGTATCATCTATTGTCTCACAGTATTTTCCCATTGATCTTAAACCTGTTTAATGTTTTGATAATGCAAGGCATATCTATCTTCATAAATATTATTATTTATGTTTGTCTCACTCTTAATTGCCAGTTTGGAAGGGTTTGTATTATCATGCAAATTAGGGGTTTAGATATTATTGATACCAACAGATTTTATTTAAATGCAAATCTTTGTCCTGACAGACATTTGACTTAAATTGATTTGATATATTTTTAATGTGTACATTCTCATGGTTTAAATGTGGATTTATGTATAAGATGTTCAGGCTGTTCCATGCCATCGGTTTTTTTCTAGTAAAAATCCTTGGTGACTTTGTGATAGCACTGCATGGTTCTGATCTATCAATTAAATCCTAAAACATAAACCTGTGAGCAATTAAGTCAATGGTAAAACTTCAATACTTCAGTAGGAATGTTGTCATCAGGAATAAACCAAAACTGGTATCACACATTGCTATAGACTCAGTCCTGTGCTGTTGAAGTCAATGGGAATCTTGCCATTAATTTCCATGAAAGCAAGGTCAGACCTGAACTATAGCAAATGTATGCACTCCATTTACTCAGAATGACTGACTAGGGGTTACAGGTAAAAGAACAGTAGCTAACAAAAACCCAAAACAGTAATCTCAGAAGATGAACTTTTACAAATAATCTGGTCTTTGACTAACTACACTCAAAATCCATGCTCTAATCTATGAGGATATTATCTTTCCAGACTGGTCGTGTTTAGAAACTGCCACTGGGCAGTATCAGGGACCATCAGACTTTAATATTAACCTTATTTGACATAATAAGATAAAGTAATTTTAATGGAACATTGTCAGAGATAAGAGTTCTTACTCAGACAAAACTCCTGCTATAAAATAACAAATATATTGCTTCACTTCATATTAATGCTTGATCCTGATCTTGGCACTTGTTTAGCAGCAAAAGAGCATGATCCTGTTCCAACATCAAAGTCCATTATATTATCTAATAAATAAATCTTTCCTACTGTAAAAATTTATGGTACTGTCCTTTCCTGTATTGCTACTTATAACTGCACTTTCTGTTACTGTCCATTTCCACTGAAAACAAATATGAATTGGACATGGAACAGAATGACCTTTAACAATGACTAATATCCCTTGTTTGTGAAACAAGCTCTTATTTGAAACAGTACTGTCAGATACTTTCCTGTACATTTTCTTAGGTGGGCCCATTTTACTAACCATTTAAGTGTAACTTAATTCCAAAGGAAGGAAGAGCAGTGTCTATCTTAGACTAGGGAATCTTTAAGAACTGGTATTTTATATACTGCTGTTTCCATATTTAGGGCATAATTTTGTTCCAGAGAAAATTATATCTAAATAAGGACTTCTGGGTCAGATTCTTCATGGCATCTATCATTCTCCCCTATTCCTAGCACTTACTCTGTGGATACAACAGTGTTCTTTATAATATGGATAGTATGGTTTTAGGAGTGCATGCTAGAGCAGCCTGACATTTAAAATGAATATTTATCAAAATGCAGTAATTACTGGCATTTCTGTCATAGGATACTCTAATATAATAGATATAAAATAATCTCTTAATAGGTAGGAGCTCATTATCTCCTTTATTAATTTAGGACTTTGCCCCTAAACAGTTATTTTAGGATCATAAAAATTAATATATTACTGTATAGTTATAAGGTGCTAGTTAAGAGAAACACACATTAGAAATCATTTCCTGTTTCAGATGTTGATGTTCAGTTGATCACTCTTGAATTTGATTCTTTCCAGACTGAAGTCAGAACTTTTATATAAAATACAAACCATTTTACACTTCGTATCATTTTAACTACAAATAAAATGTCTACTTTCAATACTTGGTTAAAAGTTCCATGGCAAACAGACTAAAGTTTGACACTGACAATACAATATAAATGTGTGTCTACCAAATCAGAAAAAGAACCTTCAACTTCACTATTTTAATAAGTAATTGAGAAAGTTTACTGCATATAAAAACAATTTTTTTGTTTTGCATTCCCTATTTTAAAAGAGAGTGAATTTTGGTGAGGGATTAATGAAGTGTCTGGTTGGTTTGATTTTTATAATAACTTTCCATTTTATTTAAAAATACAGTAACTATTTTTAAAATATATTTTGCCAAGATTATGTACCTATATAGGTGCATGATGAGTACTATTATGCTTTAAATAATGTTTAGTTTATTGGGTAAATGTTATTTTAAACTGTGAAACAGCGTGTGAAAGTGTTCCTAGAGCTTGAGTATTCAGGACAGTGACAGCCATTTTGGCATCCTGGGCAAGCAAATAAGCGCTGTCTATACCCTGCTTCTAAAATAAGAGCAAGGGTTAAACAAGAGGAAATTCTTATACAGAAAGCATTTTATCCTCCTGTGGTGACATAAACAAAAGCCAGGAAATGCCTAGTTAAAGCTCACCCACTGTATCATACTACCATGCATTTCTTTTAATGTAAAAATGGGATATTTAACTATTCTCACCTTCCTTAGATTCAGAATATAGTTTGTAGCTTCTGACCTCTGAAAAGATGCCAGTTATGTTTGTTCCTCTTCTACGCCCATGATTTGACTGCCAAAAATATATATTCAGCACAGCATCAGCCCCAACCAGATCATCTTTTAAAGGACTGTTTGCAAAGCATAACATAGGTCTCAACTGCTGGTGCTGTGGATTAATTAATTAATTAAATTAAAGTTTACTGTTATGTTTGGAGTAACTAAATCCTCATCATCTGGACTGGGAGTGGACTCAGCTGAAACTGGTCTTCCTTCCAGTCCTGCTACTCTCAGTATTTTTTTCCTTACGGGATCCTGACGGGATCCTTAGAAAACTTTGCCTTGCCTTGGCAAAGCAATCTGAGAGCATGAAATGTGGGGAACAGCTTGTGGCTCACGCTATTGCAACAACTGGAGGTTATCAAATAAATGTGGCCGAGGAGTTTGCTCAGACTAAGTAAACGAGAAAACAGTTCTTCAAACTGGGGCGTTTTGTAAAGCTTTCGGGAGGAAGAAAAGATCAAATGAGACCGACTCAGTGGGATCTTCCCAACGTGACCCCAGTGTTAATGTATTTATTTTCACGCTGCAGTTGCGGGTCGCTTTACAGAAACATCTCATGCTGGAGCCCCCGCATGGAGCCAAGGACAAGAGAAAAAAAAAAACACTTGTATTCAAACCAAACTATTAAATAACCTGTACACAAAAGTTGGGTCTCTGGCCCTGAAAGACGCGGGCCCCCAGAGGACCACTCCTGCTCCGGTTCGCCCATTGTCACCGCAGCCGCGGGCAGTGACACGAGCCCCTGTCCAGAAATGGCGGCCCGGGGCCGGCTCCCCCAGCAGCGGCCGCTCGTAGCCCCCGGGCACGGCCAGGGCCGCTCGCGTCTGTCCTGCACCTGCGCTTGTCCCACGCCAGCCCGGGAGAGGCCAGGGCCTGCAGTCCCCGGAGCCGCAGCGGGGCTGAGCTGGGCGCAGTCACGGGGCGGCTCCTCCTCCAGCCCGCCCGCAGCAGGGGCTGCCCTCAGGTCACAGCCCGCGCTGCTCCTCCCGCTTGACGGCGTCGCCCGCCGCCTTGAGCTTCTTGTTCTGGTGGGTCTTCACGTGCTTGGCCAGGTGGTCGCTGCGCATGAAACGCTTGCCGCACTCCGGGCACACGAAGCGCTTCTCGCCCGTGTGAGTCCGCAGGTGCCGCTGCAGCTCGTCGGAGCGCGTGAAGCGCTTGCCGCAGAAGAGCCAGTTGCAGACGAAGGGCCGCTCGCCCGTGTGCCAGCGCAGGTGCGCCTTCAGGTGCGACGTCTTGCCGTACACCTTGCCGCAGCCCGGGATGTGGCAGACGTGCTGCTTCTTCTTGCCCGGCTCCGCCTCG